GGGGTCGAGTTTCCTGGCCTGTTTCTGTACATATGAAGTCAGAGAGCGTGAGAAGGTGAGCATAGTGTGTGACCGTTCATGTGTGTGTGTGTGTGTGCGCACGCGCACACACACTGTGAACGGCTTGCTTCTGCTGCAGCTCCCAGCAGCCTAGAGAATCAATCTTTTTACGTGTAGCAAGCCACTCTCCAGGATATTAACACTCTACCATTTCCAAGAGCCTCTGTTCACACCAGCTCCAGAGGAAACACCATGAAAGAAGGAGCCTCAAGCTGCTAAAAAGCACACAAAGCAACAAGGAGAAACAGTTCCAAATCTCATAAAAATGGAAAAGGTTTCAAGAACAACAGCCCGTTTGTTCAGAGAGTGCCCACGGAGCAGGAGGGTAAATAAAACTCAGTACCTGTTAGATTTATAGGCAAATAATCATTATCTACTACGTGTAGATGAGTGAAGGATAATTTTATGCAAACCACAATAAGTAAATTCAAACAGTGCGAACTAAGCCTGCACAGTAAGAGCAGGAAGTTCAAGCAGAAAAAAAAAAAAATAAGGAAATGGCATTTTCTGTGTGGTGTGTCACCAACCTGGGAAAGCCATTATGGAGCCAAAAACTGGAACAGGATTTTATAACGCCACTGCCTTGAAATAGAGCTATGAATCCCCTAGGACTTGTATGGTGATTTCATACCTTCAGCAAAACTCTGCTCCCCAAGATCTGATTACTAATTGGCCTTACGTAGAGGATTATGGAGAATTAGTAAATTAGAGTTTTTACATGACGAGTGCACAGTATAAATATCCTGGAAGCCTTCGCGGTGCACTCAGGTTTTGAATGACTCGGTTTCAGTCAAGTGTCATGAGCCGAGCACCCTAACCAATGGAGCTTGGGATTTTACGGACTTGTGTCTCAGAACTGTATAGCTCTCTAATCGAAATAGTGCTTTTATAAGAGTTTTTCGAAAGCAGGACATTTGACTTGGGCCATGTTTAAAATCTCTTTAAATACTGTGGATTTTAAATTCGAAAGTAAAATCAGAGTTTTTCAGGTTCAGGTTTCATCTGTTCTTTATCAAATGTGGTTCCCTGGGTGGTAGCGGAAGATGAAAAAGGCTTTTACGGGGTTGCATGATGCCTGCAAGTAGATTCATTACGACGAGGGCATCGGTTTTCTCGATTCCATTGGAAAAGCATGTGAGCACTAAAGCGGAGGAAAATATTCTCAGAGCGAGACGAGGGGAGCTTTTAGTGACACTAATTTTGTTCAAATGGTTTTGCTGAATCTAAAGCTCTAGTGACTTCGCATGATGGGTAGAAGCATAGCATAGTAAATGAGCTTGCAGAAGCTTCAAAGTCAAGAGTGAGTGGGTTTAAATCTAGACTCTGGAGGAAACGAGGGAGAATTGGAGAAAGGAAGGAAGGGTAGAAGGATGGGAGGAAGAGAGCGAGAGAGGGAAGGAGGACGGAACGAGCAGGCATTAAGCGGTGTCTGTGTACCAAGCATCTCACCAGGATGCTTCCATGTTTACTTATCTTCTCTTGCTAGCTGTACGATCTTGGGCAAATAACTTTACCTCTTTGGGCCTCAGGTTCTTTATCTATAAGAGAGAACAACTGTCATGGGAATTCTAGGAAGATAGTAGTGGCAGCATAGCTTTTTGGGTACTCCGAAATCACCACATTAAAAAGCAGCTAGACAGCAAAAACAAAAATCCAACAAAACTGGGTAGCAAGGTATAACACAAAACCTCAAAACACAAGCAGGTAGAGACAAACTACCAACGGCCACAAGACTAGTGTCATTGGCACGTGTGTAGGAAAAAGCAGAGGGGAATAACAAGGCATTTGATGATCTCAAGGATGAGGGAACCAAAAAGCACCCAACAGATAACAGCTGAATAGTACAACAGGTCAATTTGAGACAAGTGGCTAAAGCTCAGAAAGGTACTGTTTACTCCAGCAGCATGTGAATGTAAAAAATATGCTGTAAACTCTATAAGAATGAAGCAGTGTGTGATCTGGGAACTCTCACACCTGACCCAGGCTCCATACTGAGGAAGAAGTCCTGGGGCCAGAAGTGTAACTCAGCGAGAGAGAGACAGTGGGGACCGAGAGAGGAAGGCACAGGAAAAAGTGTGGAAGGCGGACAGAGCTAGGACATCTCAGGAAGCAGGATGCTGTATTTTTAACACTGTATGTGAAAAAGCAGAAGAGGAATGTCTGTGAAGTTAGAAATGTAACCACTTTCTAAACGTTCAGGAAAACTAACTTCATAAAAAATGAACAACAAAAAATGTATCGAGGTCAAATCCCACACAATCACTATGAAATCACACCAGAAAGAGATAAAAGAGACCAAAACCTTATTTCGGAAGAACCTAAACTATATGAATGATATAAAGCATGAAGTAATAACATAAATCAAAAGTACGAAAATCAGAAATAAGCTGATACCGAGAGCTTCCTATGCCCCATTTTGCTTTTTCTTTGCTCTGAGTAAATTGACCAGCAAAATGGAAGAAGAGAGTATGTGTTCTTTCAGTTTCTATTTGACTTTCCAGTTCAGGCTTTTCATGTTTGTTCAATTTTAATGATATTATAAACTCAAAGGTACTGGCAACGGAATAACCTTGGAATCAATCCTAGCCCAACATCTCAAGGTCTAAAAGCTAAAGGTATTCTGGGAGTCATGAAGATATTTAATAAGGTAAAATAAAATCAATCTTGCTAAAAATGTTTAAGCCGCTAATGCTTCCCTAGCCCAAATGGAGGAATTTTCACCATCGAGTCCTCTTGGCTGTGGTGGAGAATATTTAATAGAGAGAACTTTTAAAGTGAAACAAACACACAACACCGTGTCCTGAGGAGAACAGATGTAGTAAGTGGACAATCGGCATTTTGTTTACGTTGTCTTTATTTTGTCTTGTGTTGCTGATGGCATACTAGAGACTTTGATTCGGAGCAATGCTGACATCCTCTCTCCTGACTCCTTGGGAAAGAAAAAGAAGTTCATACGGCAATGAAGGGGAAAGGCAGGAAGAGGGTTGATTTGAGAGGAATAGTTTACCATTTGTTGAGCTTGAAGTAGCAGCATCTTATTTTTCACCTTTCCCTCAAAAAAAAAAAAAACACAAAAAACAAAAAACGAAAAAGCCCCGCTATGTGGACAAGGTATCGAAGCATAAATTAAAATGAAATGAATTTTAAATCTTTATTGTCACTAAAGCGCGCAGCAAAAATTCTGATCTTATTTCAACCGTTTCTCAGGGTCTTCGATATACATCTGCTGCTTCTCCTGATGACCAAATCAAAGAGATGGATTTGGCAGGAAATTTCCAAACTCGGAAATTATTGTGTTTCCAACATGCAGTTATTTTTATGACATATATGCTGTCTAAACAAAAAGAAAAAAAAAAAGTAAGGAAGAAAGGGTGAAGAGAAGGGAAAGAAAAAAAAAATAAAAGTTGAAAGTTAAACACAAATAACATAGGATTTAATTTCAGCCCATACTTAAAGGCTGAGATTATGTTGCCTATTAGAATATAATATATTTCAACCCTGGTAGCTCGAATTCATTTCTTACCCAGCTTCAAAGTTATTATAACTGGCAGTTGCTAGGAACTGATCTGGAATGAACTGGAAATTCTGGTTCTGTTCTTAATGAGCCAATGGGTATGTCACAAACTTGTATGATGGCACTTCCTGTCTTGAAGAGGTAAAGAGGATGGAGGACTCCTTGGCGACCGCATAGCTTTCACCTTATTCCAGCAGAGGTGTGTGGCCGTGGTTGTCTTATGCTTTCCAGCTCAAAAATTTTTCTCATTCTGCTGTTAAAGCTTCAGAGGACACATCTGGTTGCTAACATAGGCATTGCCTGAATGTAACCCATGTAGACTACTACTTTATCTCTGCATCGTGCCTGGAACGCTATGCATTAAACAAATGTGTATTTAATGAGATTGGATTTACTTAATATTTCTAACTCAAATGAATGTAAGTGAAACTTCTATCATTGCGAAGGATTATGAAATCGAAGCAATACGTTGACAAGAGATGATGTGGCATCTTATTTATGAGAACGAAATCAATAGGTAAGCAGTTTAAAATAACAGGATCTAGAAAAAAAATAAACCTAACTTGAGATGTACATGTGTGAGAAATAACGGCTGAGATGCCAATTATCTGTTCCTTGAGTGCCTATTTGTAGACTTGAACTCCTTTAAGGTAAAGTCTGTGTTTTATTCTCATAGCCTCAGTTCTCGGATGAGTGCCTCGCGTGGAATAAGTGTCCACGTCTATCTTGATTTCTACAGGAACACCTCATACGCTATCATTGAATGTACTGCTTTGAATTTCATTTATACATACACTTTGTGTGTATTTCTACTGGGTTTAGCTACAAATTCTTCGAGCCAGGAACTAACATCTATTCATTTCTTTTCGTGCTCACGTCTAAAGCAATGCCCGCTCGTAAATTTTGGTTAAATTAATAAAGACAGTTGATCTGGCTGGATCTGCTCGGGTCCTCCACCTCTCTCACCGTGCCATTACTTACACGGAAGCCTAACAATAGCCATGCTGTCGTGCAAAGCATTTCCAATTGAACATGTACGTATATATCCACATATACAAATTCACAAACGCAGGTTTTTTTCATGTGTGGATACGTGTGTGGATATGTATGACTAAATACACGTCTTATTTATTCTGGATAATACAGTCATTTCGCTGTATGTCTCTAAAGATTATCAGGTTTACAGACCACACAACTAGTTTCTCAAAGTTTGGGTCAGACTATAGAACTCGGGGAAGGAGTAAAGCACACAGATTCAGTATTCATTTTCTTGGTGGGCCACCTCCTTCCCCATCTGACCCTTGGAGCAACCCCGTGATGTCATAATTGTTGTCTTATGTCATACTATTGGAAAATAGAGGTTACCATCATCAAGAAGAGGTTGTATTTTAAAAGGTCCTTTTAACTGAAATCTCCTTTGCATTAGGATGTGCAACGTGAGCTAAAATTCATTTGAAAAGTGAGAAGATGACTGCACTACTAGCCAGTGGATATGGATTCTTCGGACCACAGTGGCTATTTGATGACATTCCAAAGGCAGTCACAAGGTAAGAAAGGATTTTCTATGGACTCTTGAAGCAAATCAGGATTAAAATTTCAAAGCAATGGAGGATAAAAAAAATAATTCTCACATCTCTGTTCTGTGTAGCTGTGTGAATAAAATATAGAACAATCAATATCGCTAAGAGTAATGCATTCCAATATATGACTTTCCTATATTAGGACACTTTCATGGCTCCTGATGTCTGCAGAAAATATTCAAGTACCAGACTCTCTTATATCAGGCTCTCCAAAATGTGGATCCTCCTGGCTTTTCCAAACTTATTTTTCACTGCTCACAAACTTGAACTGAATTCTCTAACCACCTCAACGACTTACAGTTTCCTAAATATGCAGCGATGTTTCGTGCATTTGTCTCTTTGTATGCACTGTTGCCTTTCCCTAGAATACCCCTATCAGGCTCTCTGCTTAGCAGATTATTAGTCATCCTTTGTGAGTCCCACTCTGGGCGTCTCTCCGCCATGATGAGTGCACCATTCCCTCCTCTGTGCCAACATTCTACTTGTTTCGGCTGTTGCTAGGCCGTGCGTCAGTATGTTCAACCATTACTTATTTATGTACCAGGTGACTATGTGTTCCTTGAAGGCTGTAATTATATCCGATATAGCAGCAGTTACCATTTACCAGTTCTGACTATGTACCTAGCACTGTGATTAGAAATGCAATTGGAAATCCACGATTTTATACCTTTCGAATCACTCTTATTGGAGAAGACAGAGCTATAAACAAATCATGTCCATAAAGTACAGTACATGCCATGGGATAACAGAAAAGTCACTTTACGAAGTCTTGAGCTTAGGGAACGCTCCCAGGAGGAATGGTTTTGCAGAAGCAGCAAACCGTAGGAGTGACAGGAAGCCTTCCCAAAACAACGCAGCCTGACCCCTGTAGTCCAAAGCCCTCCAGGAACCCCCCTTGGAATGTTGCCATATTGCTGGGGTGATGGGCATTTAAACAGTTCTATCATAGGTGGTTTCATGTAACTTTGTATTCCTTCTCTCCTCCCGTTAAATTACAAAGCCATTATTCTTTCTCAATACTTTTAAACTCCTCACTGCTGCTAGTTCAGTATTCCAAATACAGTTGACGAATTTAAGGATGAAGTTGAAATAATGATAGCCTCTAGCATTTTCATGTAATTTTATAGTCTATAAGAATCTCACAAAATATTAACTTATTCCCTCCTCAGCCCAAACTTTTACGGTGGGTATTTATCCCGATTTTTCTTACCGAAGATACAGAGAGTTTAAGTGACGTATCCAGAGACATATGATCGATATATGGTTTCCAAACACCTAATTCAGTTGATAACAATTACCACCAGTTATGTGATAATCACCCTGTTATAAATTTATGGATGCGATCTCATTTAACATTATGATAACTCAAGACATATGAATTATCATTCTTATTTTATAGATGAGAAAATGAAGTTTGTGATGTTTACTTTGCTCAAGGTCAACTAATAAATAGTGGATTGGGTGCTCTTAACTCAGTTCTGACTCCAGAATTCAGGCTCTTATTCACTCCCAAGACTGTTCCAAGTATTCAATGGGATTGGTTTCTTCATTGAAACCATTTATAATCCATTGGGAGGGTGAGGTAGGAATAAGAGGGAAATGCTAAATTAATACCTATAAAATTATTAAAGGATGATGATGGCTTCTGAACTCTTCTGTTTATCTTTGGAATTATTTAATTCTATTATGTTTTATCTAAGTATGAATTTCTCTTAACTATCTTGCTTGGGATTCATGGCTTTGATTAACTCAGGACATCTTTCAGTCCCTAAGTATTATCTTGTCTCTATTCTATTCCTCTAGAAGTCATATCAAAGGCTTACGGTCCCTTACATAATATCTTTCCTGTCTCTTAACTTACTCTTTGTATAGTCTTCTCTCTTTATTTCTCTGGGCTACATTATGTGTTATTTCCTCATATTATTCACAAATTTTCTCTTCAGTGGTGTTGAACATGATATTTGATCCGTGCATTTAGTTTACTACTTTTTTACCTTGTTTGCTATACGTTTTAAAACAACCACATTGAGGAATAATTCACATACCACAAAATGAATGCATTTTAAGTATATGGTTTGGATGAATTTTGACAAATGTGCTCATACATGTAAACATTACCCCAAAGTTCCCTCCAGCCTGTCTGCTGGCAGTCTACCTGTCCCTATGCCTGCAACAAGCAACTGATGTCTGCTTTCTGTCATAGTAGATCAATTTTTCTCTATTTAAGAATTTCTTATATATGAAATCAAACCATCTGTTTCTTTTATCACATTTTTTTAGATTCATTCATGTTGTTGCATATATTAGCGTTTTGGTTTTTTAGTGCTGAGTAGTATCTATCGTGTGACTATCCCAATTAGTTGACATGTTCACGGACAATTGGGTTGTTTCCAGTTTTACGTTATTTCGTGTAAAGCTGCCAGGAACATTGTGAAGAGCAATGACTGTGGTTGTATGTTTTCACTTCTCGTGGACTGTAAAAACCCACACACTCTGGGTGTGGAATCGCTGGGTCCTAGAGGAAATGCGTGTTTAGCTGTGCAAGAAACTGCCCGACTGTTCTCCAAGACACTCGTGCTGTTTTGCGTTCTCACGAGCAATGTAGAACTTCGTCGTTCCACGTTCTGGCCAGCATTTGGTGTTGTCTGTTTTAATATTAACCATTAGAGTGAGTGCTGTGGAACAAAATAGTGACACCCCCTCAACAAATATTCCCACATCCTAACCCTGGAGCCTGTAAATATGTTGCCTTCCATGGCGAAGGGGCCTGACAGATGTGACTGTAGCTGCGGGGGCCTCCCTTAACCCGGGAGATGATCCTGGGTCACGCAGCTGGGCCTACGTAAATCCTTAAAGGTAGAAAATCTTTCCTGTCTGCGGCCGTAGAAGGATGTGATGACAGGAAAAGGACTAGCCAGATGGCAGTATGAGAAGGCCCTGGACACTGCTGCTGGCTTCGAAGCTGGAGAAAGAGGCCATGAGTGAAGGAACGTGGACGGCCTCTAGAAGCTGAGGAAAACGATTCTCCGCTAGGGCCTCCAGACCGGAATAAAGCCCTGCCGGCCCCTTGGTTTTAGCCCACAGAGAGTCATTTCGGACCTCTGACCTTCAGCACTGTAAGACAACAAATTTGTGTTGTTTTAAATCACCATGTTTGCAGTAATTTTGTACTGCAGACATAGAAAACTAATATAGGTGAATAGTATATCTCATCATGGAATAAATTTCCATTTCCCTGATGACTAAGGAAGTAAAGTTATTGTATGCTTATTGGCTAGCCATGTATCTCCTTTTGTGAAGTGTCTGTACAAATCTTTTGTGCATTTTTAATTAGGCCGTTCAGGTTTTTATTATTGAGTTACAGTAGTTCTTTTTATACCACAAGTACGATTCTTTTGTCAGATATATTTATGCAAAATACCTTCTCTTAGCCCATGACTTGCTTTTTCATTTCTTAATGGTGTTTTTCAAAGAGAAATTTTAGATTTTGGTGACATCAAGTAAAATTTATTTTTTATATTATGGGTTAGTTCTTTGTGTGTCATGTCTAAGAAGTAATTGCCAACCCATAGGTCTCAAATATTTTTTCTTATGCTTCTAGAAGTTTTACAGTTTTAGACGTAATATTTGTCTCTGTGATCCTCGTAAGTTAATTTTTGTACATGGTGCAAAGAAAGAATTGAGGCCTATTTATTTTTTACACGCATATACAGTTTTTCAGCACGTTTTATTAAAAAACTATATATTCCCTATTGAATTAATTTACCTTTACCAAAAACTAATTGAACTAACTTTCATTTTGGGACCATGATGAAGGAGAGGCACTTCACATTCCCATTAAGCACAGCTAAAATTCCTGGATATTATACACATAACCAACATTAAAAACAAAACAAAACAAAACGCTGAAAGGTGAAGAGAAGGCAGACAAACTAGGAATCTCAGGACCCAAGGAATACGGCAGTAATAAGTTCCCCGAGTTTTTGTTTTGCCCAGTATATTCCATGCTGGGTTCCAGAGTTGCTACCAGCTCAGAAAAGGCAAGAGAGGCAGACAGAGGGGCCCCAAGAAAAGTTTTCTCCAGCCAAAGGAACAGAAAGGGAAAAGCTGAGAAGACGGCAAGTGTTTAAACAGTAACTTCCCTCCTGCATCCCAACACTGTGGAAACCTACGCTTCCTTCTCTCCTCTCAGCAAACGCCAAGTGGAGAGGCCCGCTGCCCCCTCGCCCAGCCCCCTCGCCCAGGCCCCCTCGCCCAGCGCCCCCTCACCCAACGCCCCTCGCCCAGCTGTGCCAAGGCGCCCTCCTTCCCCAGCAGAGCTTTCACAGCCATCCAGTGTAAAAAGACCTTCCCGCCACCGTGCGAATGGGAGCCACGTGGAAAGTAATGAGAGAGACAACTGCAAAAATACTTTGGAGTTGTTTTTCAGTTTTTCTTCTTCTATTATGTACAGTGCTGCTCCTATAATTCTAGACAAACCTCACTGTGCGCATCTGCTAGAATGTTCTGAGACCTATAACTAGGAGTAGAATTGCAAAGGTTCAGGGTGTATGCCTGCTCACTTTTACAAAATAATGCAAAAACATTTTTTTCTCAAGTGGTAGTCCCAATGTACACTCAAACCTGAAATGTTTACTAAACCATATCCAGGGATGCACATTTTCACCGGCACTTGGTATTGTTGGACTTCTTAATTTTACACCCTTGTCAACATAAAATGATCTTTTTTAATGGTTTTAACTGGCATCTTCCTGGTTACTATTGAGGAGGAGCATCTTTTCCTGCTTTTTTTTTTTCTTGCCATTCCTCTTTTTCTTGTCAATTTTCCCATTGGGTTTATTGTCCCTTTCACTGATAGATCCTTTAAAAAAAATTTTATTCAACTTAAACTGAAAAAAAGTTCATCAGTGCTTCCTACCCTCTCCTGACTCCGCTTCTCCAGTTCAGTCCCAGTTTCGGTTTCTCTCTCTCTTGCTCTAGTTCCCAGCTCTTTATGACCCGGCTCTGCACCTTTCCTCTAGAATTTTGTTGGTATTGTTTCAAGCTCAGGTATGCATTTTTTTTCAAACTCCAAATGTTTACTCAGCACCAACTATAGGAAAGATGCTGTCCTAAGTGTACAGAAGCAGACGAAACAAAATCTCTGATTGAAAGGAACTTACATTGCAAGAATGTTTGTTCTCTATGCATTTAATGGATATTGTGATCTGGCAATTTTAGGTATTGTGGGAGTTTTAAGGTAAACCAGCCGTGAATGTTAATTTGTTAAATTTTATATCAGATTTTACAATGAATACTTGGGGGGGGGGGAACCCAGAAAATAGAAAGTCCAGTTAGGAAAGAATTGCAGTGTTCTAAGTAAGAAGTGGCTAGACTAGGAGGTAGAAGTGGGAATGGAGGAGAAAAGCTGGATTGCAGGAATATCTTGAAGGAATAAATGACAGAATTTTGTAATAGTTTACTAAGAGGACAAGATATGGAAGAAGATGTCAGAGTGAGCTCCAAATATTCTTCCCTGGAAAACCAAAAGAATGATTACAACGCTGACAGAAATAGTGTAGCTGGTGTGAATGGGCAGATATAAATAATCTCTCAGTGGGTATGGACTGTGTTTCTGAATTTAATATGCCATGTAGTGCATTGCATTAACTTAATGCAGTTGAAAAAAGGCTGGGGGATGACTATGTAGACACGGCCCAAGGTGGCTGAAAATATAAGCCAGAAGAGAAAGTGACAGGATTGCAGGTGAGGGTGGGGAGAGGAAGTGCTTTCTTTGTATTCCTGGTTTGGTATTTGACACAAAGCTGGCCCTCAATATTTACTGAATAAACGAATATAAATTATTTGCATAGGTCTGATAGCTGAGCCCATGCAAATAGATCTGCCAGCAGAGGACATTAACTTGCTAAGGTTCAAGAACAGACCTTCTCCATAGCCTGCCAACAGCCAACAGCTACCTGCCTCAAAGGAAACAATTCCAACGTCCCCTGACTAAGGGGATAATGACTGGAGGATTTGGAGTTTCAGGAGCTGTTTTTGTTTGGGGGCAGGTGCATTCTAGATTTAAGATATCAAAGTGGAAGGTCAAGATTTAACATTGAATCAAAATTGATACTAACAGCATTCATTTTGTATAAAGGTCAGACTATCTCCACAACTTAGAGCTTCTTAAAGCACTCCGAATGCTCCCAAATACAAACCTCACTTTACAGGTTATGAGCAGAGGGGGGAACTGCTCTCCAGACAGCGTGCTCTACTTAAAAAGTTAGCGGATTCCCTTTCCCTCTTCTCAAACTGAGGACCTGAAATCCTAACTCGGCTGACCGGGGTGACTGTCATTCCCATCCCCACGAGGGCGGTGACCAGGGCGCCACTCCCGGCCCCCACCAGCCGAAATCCGCCTCGCGAGCCTTCAGGCTCTGCCCCAGCGCGCGCCGCACTGGGCCCAGGGCCGCGCCCC